CTGCACATGTGACCCACGTGAGTTTTAAGCCATCGGATCCAGGACTTGAACCATGGTTGGCTATGTGGGAGTCCAGCAACGTAACCACTATGCCACCTGCTGGCCTCTAGGATATTGTTTTGGGGTTGATCCACGTTGGAGCATGAGCCTATTCTCATTTTGATTGCTAAGTAGTATCCCACGTCTGTGTGGTCCGCAGACAGACCTCGTTGTGTCCACTCAGAGCTGCTGGACTCTCCATTGCTCACACTTCTCGGCTATTACAAATAATGCTGCCGTAAACACGTACATGTGTCTTGTGTGGATGTCATTGTCCCTTCCCTTAGTTGCGTGCTTGCAAGGGCTACTGCTGGGTCATGTCGTAATGGTATATTTAAATGGCAAGTGCACACTCTATAGCAAAAAACCTCTACAAAATAAAATGAAATAAAATAAAATAAAAGCAGTTTTTGCTTTAGTAAATCAAAGAAATGCTAAGGAACTATGCTTAAAACTTAAAGCCAAGAAACAGGTTGGGATTCTGTTCAAATTCTAGGTACACGTACCTATTGGCAGCTCAAGACAGGGCAAAAATCCTTAAAACTGGAAAACAAAGCCTAGAAGAAAATCAGCAATGTTTTAGTCAAAAGTCATAAAATGCTATTTCACCAGTTCAGTCTCATGTACTTAATCTATCTTCTGTTGTAGTTTGATTTTCCCAGTTAAATTCTGGAGTATAGTATTCAACTCCAGACTTGTACCCACAATTAAGTTGGCCATTTTCTTAGTGTTTGAACTCTTAATTTCTGTGTGACTGTATTTAATTTTCCTGATATAGCACTCCCTGCAAAACTTCTTGGAGATCTGGTCTGGTATTAGTAAATTCTTTCAGGTTTTGTTTACCTGAGAATGTTCTTGTCTTTTCTTCCCATATAAAGGATATCCTGCCAGGGGAACCAGCTGTTAGCATAATGGCTAGGTCGCTAGACTCCCATGTAGTCGGCCGCGGTTCGCGTCCCAGACCCGGTGGCTTAAAACTCACACCGGGCGCGTGTGCGTGTGTGCCCAAGATCCCAAGAGGAGAATGGAGGAGAAGGGATTGCGGCGTGACCATGCCCCCTGGGGGGTGATTTCTCGCTTTCTGTCTCTATGTCTCTCTCTGTCTGTCTGGCGAGCGCACACGCCCTATAGCGAAAACCTCTCCCCCCAAAAAAAATAAATAAATAAAAATAAAGGATATCCTGCCAGATACAGTATTCTTGGTTGTAATTGCTTTTCCCTTAACACTTTGAATATATTTTCCCATTCTTTCCTCACTCGCATTGTTTCTGATGAGAGGTCTGCTGTTAGCCTGATGGGATGTCCTTTGTAGGTAACTTGTCATTTTTCTCTTGCCAATCTTAGTATCCTGTCTTTGTCTGTGGTTTTGGTCAACCTGGCTATAATATGTCTTGGAGAAGATCTTCTTGGGTTGATTCTATTTGGGGTCCTTTGTATTTCTTGGGACTGGATCTTTGAGTACCTCTCTAGGTTTAGAAAGTTTTCTTCTAGGATTTCATGGAATAGATTGTCAATGCCCTTATGAGTCTCTTCGCCTTCTGGGATACCAATTATCCGAATGTTTGGACGTTTGATGGTATCTAGTATTTCTCATATATTATTCTAATTTTGGGGGGCCATTTTCTCAATCTTTGTGGTGGATTTTTCTAGACCAGAGATTCTATCTTCTACATCTGAGATTCTATTCCTGTATGATCTAGTCTGCTCTTAATACTTTCAAGGGAGGCTTTGACTTCCTGTATTATAGCCTTTATCTCTAACAGATCTGTTTGATTCTTTTTTATAGTGTGAATTTCCTTTTACATCTTGCAAGAATTTCCTCACCTCCTGGAGCTTGTCAGCTCCTTTCCCCTGCCTCTTAGGTAGTTCATTGTTTCTCTTCTCTTTGATCTCTTTGTCACCCTGAAAATTCTAAATTCTTTATCTGACATTTCCGTGAGGTTCATTGAACTGTCTGTGGATGAAGAGGAGTTATTCTTTTCCCTTGGAGGAGAGGTATTTTCTTACTTTCCCATATTTCTTGTAACCCTGTGGTGATTTCTAGTCATCTGATGGATGGTGCATTTCTTCTAATTCTCGAGGTTCAATCTGAGCATCTGAGACATGCAGGAGGAGGTGATCTGCAGTCTCTCTTCCGTTCCGTTCTCACTCTGTGCATCAGAATCAGTGGGAACAGAGGAATATTCTGACCCTAATCATATTCAGATGTAGGTCCTGTTCACTCAGACCTGTCTAGACATTTAGTGCGTAGGAGTAGAAATGAGCGGGGGAGACGTCTCAGCAGAGAACCTTCTTAAGTCTCTGAAGGCAATATTTCACAGCTGAAGTTCAGGATCCACATGGCTTATTTATTTATTTTAATTTGACCAGAGTGAGAGAAAGAGAGGAAGAGAGAAAGTGAGCACGCAAGCCGCCAGGTCCAGGACTTTAACTGTGGTCAGCCACATGGGAGTCCAGTGCCTTAAACCACCTTGTCACCTGCTGGCCTCCCGCCTGGTTGTTTTCTAAAAGTTCAGACCAGTTATTTGGTTGAGTATCTCTCTGTGGGGTGTAGCTAGTGTCTCCTCATTGTTAGGTTCAGGTGGTGGTTTGGACAAGAGTGTCATAGAGACGTGGGCGTCCTTCTTGGTGTATCCCTGCAGGAGGCTCCAAGTGCCGGTCTGAGACAGCACGGGTCACCTAGCCCTGACCCCGTGTCCAGTGGGCCTCTGCACTGTATGGTTGCTGTTCCCCTGGGTGGTGAGCACTTTGGAGGGAGCATCTTTGACATCCAGTCAGCAGCACTGGTTAGCTCTGCATCACCTGAGGGTTCCTAGTGCCACCTGCTTTCCATACTTCCGCTCTAAGAGAACTTTTCCGAGCCCTGCATTCATACCCCGCTCAGCGTGGACTCATGGGCTACTATCTCATGCTGTGGTCTACCAGCCGTTTCTGCATTGGTTTTGGTGCTCAAATTGTCCCCAGTTGGGCCAGGGGAATTGCCTTTGAGCTGGTTCCCGTATCCTTGTGGCCTGGCTCTTTCATTTTCCAAGCCCTGTGTCAGTCCTAGCAGACAAAGATGTTCCTGCTTCATCTGGAGCTTTCCTGGCCTCTGGCTCTGTGGACCCTGTTCAGTTCTTTTTGTCTGGTATCCAGGGGGCAATCATGTTTCCCTCATGGTCTTTAAGGGTCTTCCCGTGGTGGATCTGTAATTGTACCACATCGTTACATTACACTCGGGTAGACAAGGCCCGAGTAGGTAGACAGCTGCTAGCGAACTGCACAGCAGTGCTGGAAGCTGCCTGGCTGATGGTGGCTTGGGATTCTGGGCTGGCCTGGAAAGAAGCGGGGCTGTGAGCGTGTGCCCTAGTGCCGGCACGGTGGGGGCTGTGCTTCAGAGGGGCCACAGAGCGGGGCCCTGGAGGGTCTTCTGTGCGCACAATGCACTCTGTCATGAATAAAGTTAAGTTACGATAAAGTAAGGCTTTATCCAGGTACTCTTTCCGACTTAGTGGCCAGGCTTCCAGAGTTGTTTTGTGTCTGGTATGACACTTTGTCTACATTGTTAGAGCATGTTTTAAAAATTGTTGTTTGAGGCCTAAATATCACTATTTCTGGACCAGTCACTGGCATGGTGGCAAAGGTGGCCAGCTCCCACATGGTTGACTGCGGTATGAGTCCCAGACGCAGTGGCTTGACAAGTGTGCAGGCATGTGTGCAGGTATGCCCAGAATTCCAAGAGGAGAATGGAGGAGAAGGGTTGCAACATGGCCGTCCCCCTAGGGAGGGGATTTCTCACTTCACCTTTCTCTCTCTCTGCCTCTCTCGCCCTCCAGCGAGAGCACACACCCTGTAGCAAAGTTAAAAAAAAAAATCACCGTTTCCTATTTGATTTCTGGTTTCTAAGAGAGAGGTGTTGAACGTCTCTTGAAATCTATGAAGTTTTTCCAGTTTTCTCTGTCCAGTACTTACATCTTGGTGTTCCGAGATGGGGAGGGAAGGCTCGCAAGCCATTCAGGAAGTAGAGTCCTTGGTTTCGCCCCAAGGTTTGTCTTCTGTGAGCAAGCGAGGGAGGGACAGACCCCCGAGCTACTACCACCTGCCCTGAGGTCTGCATGTCCCGCTCAGCATCCTCAGTGAGGTCCCCAGACATAAACTGGGACCTTCCCACGCGGGGCAGCCTTGTGGCGCGCCTCCACCTGGCCTGGAAGTCATTTCTCACCTGGGAGCTCGCCAGGAGCCTGGGCTTCAGGTGGGTCCCACCAGACAGTAAGGCAGGAGCTAAGGGGGTTAAACTTCCTGGGTCAAGGCTGGAGACAGGCACGGGGCCCTGCCCAAGGGGCAGCCGCCGTGGGTACCCCAACAGACAGCTGGCCACATCAGGGCCCCACGGCTGCAGCTGAGGGCGGCTGTCCGCATTCGCTCACTGCGCTCTGACACGGGCTGGCGCGGTGCCGACCCCGCCAAGGCAGGAGAAGGGGTGCTCGGTCACCCGACGACCGCGGACTGTTTGCCGAGCCCACTTCCTTATCGGAGAGCCAGCTTCACTTGGATGCTGGCCGGAAGCCACCTGCTCGGCTCCTGGGCGGCCTCTCGGGCCCTCCCAGCTGTGCAGGGCGTCCTGTGGCATGCCTCCACCAGCTTCCACATTGCTGCTCTTCCGCATGTCCGTGTCTCTGGCCACGCCGGCGGGCGGGCGTGCG